AGGAGGTCTATAGGAGAATGATTATGTTCTGCTATTGAAGCGTCCTAATGGTTTGAAGTACTAGTGATCATTGATCAAGCTTAAAGGATTTGTTACTCAGGGGAAACAAAAATAAAACATTTCGAGCTCCTTTTAGATGATTGATCTCCTGAGATATTATGGCGAGAGAGGCTTGTCGAATTGATTGAATGATTGAGAATGGTGTAAAGAGAATGAGCTCGAGTCAGCTGTAAATGGTTGCCCCTTGGAAGTTTACTTCATCTCTGGTCAGAAAGTTAGACTGGCCGGAAGAGTGTTTTGTTCGATTTGCAGTTGAAAGTTGGTGTGGATTTTGATCTCATCAGAATATTTAGCAATAAATCACAAATGTGTTGTCGACGTTAAATACTTGTGACCATTGTGTTATGATGGCATTGCGATGTACTGGAATTTTTGTTGAATACCTGAGCTTTTTATGAACGCTTTTCGATTTATGTTGATTGAGTAATCTTGGGTCTTTTTTCTATTCTTTGAAAATAAATTGCAGATAAAATCTGGAGATGTCAGGGTTTTGGCAAATACTTCCTTTCTACTTGTGAAAAAAGAGTGGTCTTCAGAAATTCGTCTCCATGCTTTCAAGATGCTACAGGTTTGTACAACAATGTATTGCTTGTGATTATTCCTACATTTTCCTTATATTGCTGCTGCTGAATGAAGCTGGGCTAAATAAAGTACTTAAGCTAAAAGATGGGATATAGAATACATGTCGATTTAACCATCAAGAGTCGAGTTGATTTGCGGTACAGATCCTGTTCCAAAACCATTTCTTAGTTTCCAAATAGTCAGGATGGCCACTTGATATTTTATATTATAGAATGAGAAAAACCAGAGAAGTTGGTAGAGGGAGTTTGAATGACTAGTCAAATTTTTAGGATTTCGTAAAAACTTTGAAGATGTTTACTTTAGTGCCTTCTATGTCAATGCCCCAAATAGATAAACATCTCCCGTTTTTTATTTTGATAAAACCTCGATTCTATGCAATATATCAGTGCAGTATGTTGTGTGCTATACAATGATTGTCACAATTAAGCTTGTTAGGAAGACCATAGAAACCTTGTGATGAAGCTATTATTTCTTTTGCAGCATTTGGTCAGACTACGGTGGGACGAATTAAGTCCTACAGAGTGCAGGGAACTTGTTAATGTTTCTGTTGGACTAATGTCAGAGGTTGCCAATGCATGCGAGAATTGGTCTCTTAAGAGTCAGTCAGCTGCCCTTGTAGCTGAGGTAGGAGTTCAAATTGGTTTGAGTTTTCACTTGCTGTCATCATTGGTATCTGCTTCCATTCGCTTTTCTCAGATTAAAATCTTTATTCTGTTGCAGATAGTTAGAAGAGAAGGCCCTAATCTTTGGCAAGAGATATTTACTTTATTAACTTCCCTTTCTGCACAGGGGCCCTTGCAGGTAGAACGCTCT